GGCAGCGATGATACAGCATATGCCATTCGACCAAAAGATCATACACAGTGATAACGCTCGTCATCTCTGGTCGCTGCACTGCTGTCAAAAAGGAGGATGATAATATTGAGCTCTATCGAATGTGCGAGGTGTTTGAACCAAGCGAGATGTAGCTGACTAATACAAAAACCGACAACTAGTGGTTATATGCTTGATGTTGGAATGCCACGTGACGTGGGCTTGGGTGGGCGTACATGCTGCATGGCATAACAATTTGTCAAAATATAACAAGTCTCTCTGCCTCCGACCGGTGCGGGCTCGCCTTTTTGGCCGAATGGCAGATTCTGACACAATTCTATATTATTTATAGTTAGGCGAAGAATAATAAGAGCCAAGGTATCTATTTGTCCTATAGATAGCAAGCTTTCTATATTGTGAGCTAAGGAGAAGAAATTTCTATAGTATATTTCCGGAACTATATGTAGATTTCGGAGGCTAGACTTGGATACTGTTATAAAGAGACGTGGCTATATATTTCTTTAGCGTTCTATCACCTGACACGAGTTACGCCCCGAATATCATCATTCTCTCCTCAACGGGCTCAAAAGTCTTCTGCATAATGCGCGGTCCTTCAGGCCTTCCAAACACCATTTGGGCTTTTAGACTCCATTCTTCTGGGATATTCCATTGCTTAGCCGTTGCAGCATCTACCATTGGGTTATAGTGCTGCAGATTAACCCCGAGACCTTCTGCAGTTAGCATTAGCCAAACTGCATATTGCAACATCCCCGTTGCATGCTCCGACCCTATAAGTATTGACGTTAGAATCCACACGGTCTATTCTATCTTAACCTGTTGGGGATTACTCACATATGGGCATCTTGTCTTTCACAACGGGCATTTTCTCCCCTGCTGCCTTGAGTGACCTGGTATCCTCGTAAAACAAAATCTAGATGATATAAACTAGATTAATAACAGATAGTTATCCAGTAAGGGCGCTAATAAGAGACTTACTGTTCCATATGCTGCGCGGAACATCTTGATACGTGGCTCAAATGCCTTCTCAAAGATGGGGGGTGCAACACGCTCCTTGGCGGTATTGTAGGCTATATCCCAGAATTTCTTATGCTCTTCCTTTAGAAGCACTACAGCCCGGCCAGATTGACAGTTAAATGGGCTGGGTGAGTGGAGGATAGCATCTTGGACAATGTTCTGGATATGCGTATCAAGAACCTCGATGTTATCCGAGAGTATATGCAATGAACCTCGGTTTTTGATGGCATCCCCGATGGAGAGCGACATTGCGAGCTTCAGGTAATAGAACGTCGTAATTAATGCTGTCGATGAAGCAATGGTGGTCTAGGGAAAGGCACGAGAGTTGACACAATAAAAGAGAATTAGGTTATTAAGACAGCTTCAGAGCATTATCAGTCTGATATACAGAGGGTATATTTATACTTCATATATATAACGTTGAAGAGAGGATTGGTGTTAGCCGACAGATCATGCCGGGTTTCGGGGCTCGGGGTTTAGCCCCCCCTGCTAGAGCCTGAGACACAAGACTTAACTCCGGGGGGGTATAGAGTACACCGTACGTACGGAGTACATACATACTTAACCCCGGAAATAATTTCTAACAGAGGTATCCAAGCATTTGGGCGCTTAATCAACTTCCCAGCCCACGAGGTTCCAGTGGTGTTGGGCCCCATGGCTCTGTGCATTAGTGTCAAATATGAGCAAGAGCAGCGAATGATGATTGGTTGAATGAGTTTGAACGTATATATAGGTGTAAAATGTACGTATATTGGTGAGCTTGAAGAGCTCAGGTGCAGGGTGTAAGTCTCTGCCAGATGTAACAGGGGCAGTGCACGTGATCTAACTACGTTGCTGACTAAGTACAACATTTGACAATTAGTTAGTGGCACCGAGTAGTGATCTTGATATCCACAGTTCCAGCGCCATACTCAGTGAACCCCAGCTATCTATGGAGTACTCCGTAACTATAAGCTATTGCTGGAATTCTCGTAGACACTCAAGATTCAATCGATTACATTACTAGGACTAATACAATGCTGGGTCTATATACAACGATATAGTGACCCTGAATGGAGACTGTAATGGCCGTATATGCTGGCAGCGATGATACAGCATATGCCATTCGACCAAAAGATCATACACAGTGATGACGCTCGTCATCTCTGGTCGCTGCACTGCTTATATGCTTGATGTTGGGTGCCACGTGACGTGGGCTTGGATGCCACGTGATGTGGGCTTGGATGCCACGTGACGTGGGCTTGGTGGGCGCATGCTGCGTGGCATGACAGAGACCGAGTTAGCAGGTAGCTTGTTAAATCTCGGAGGTTGAAGGAACATCACGTGACTCGACAAATGGATAATGGAGTAGTAAAGATATATCTTAGTAACTAAATAAAAAAAATAATAAATAAATATAGAATTATAATTAATAAAACTTATAGAAATTATTAATTTTAAATATAATTTAAATAATTATTTATTTTATAAAAATATTAATTTATATGTTTTAATATAATAATATTTTTTACTAATATATAAATAATAAATTTATTAATATTTTATTTTTATTAAATTAATTTAAGAAATATTATATAAAAATTTTAATAATTAATAGACTGGGGTCGGTACCGGGTCGGGCCGGGTTTTGGCCTTTAAACTACCGACCCGATCGGGTCGGTACTAATAAATTCTTAGTACGAGTCGGGCCGGGCCGGACCGCGTCGAGTCGGGCAAAAAACCCGGGTTTTTAACTTTCTATTACTAATAGTAATATCTTCCTAAATAGGAAGGCTAGGCAAATAAAAATATTATTATTTAAAAGCTCTATTAATTCTCTATAAAATAAGGCTATTTACGTTTTGAAATTATTAGTATTAGAGGCTCTAGCTTCATATTAAGATATAGTTCTAAAAATAGTATACTTTCTTTAAAATTTAGCTAGAGAGCTTAATTTAAATAGTATTAAACTACTAATAACCTTATTTAATAGAGAATTAATAGAGCTTTCTAAAGATTCTATTCTTATTTACTTAGCTTCCCTATTTAGAGAGTTAGAATATTTTAAGCCTCAACCCGACTCGACGGGCCGGGTTCTAAGCCTTAACCCGGCTCGCCGGGTCGGACCGAGTCTAAAAAAAGCCTAATACCGACTCGACCCGGCCGGGTCGAACCGGGCCGGTCCGGGTAAAAAACCCGGACTCGGCCCCAGTCTAATAATTAAATAAATATAAAAAATAATAATTAAAAAATATAGAATTAATAAATAATAATAATTAGAAAAACTAATAACTATATTATAACTATTTATTTATATATAATAGTAGGCTAGCGGCTAGCTAGTACCTAACTAAAATAGAATAGGAGGTAGTAGTGGCGGTGTATCGTATATCCGATGCGTTGGCCAAACACTGTGCCGAACACTGGCTCCAACATTACAACCCCCTGCGCGTTCGCAGGGGGCTCCGTCCATATGGAGTACGGAATACTCCGTACATAAAGCACTAACACCGCGTACTCTGTACGTAGTGAAGCGAAGGTGCATTTGACTGCCCCTTGCTCAACTTCCTCCCCTCCTGACGACTGCTTCACCTCGCTGCCACCATCGGAAGCGAGGGCTTCTCCGTGTCTCCTATTGATCAACGTCGCCCTCTAGTTAGTAGAGGAATGTTTCAGCAAACAACAAGTTAACTAACTAATTGGCAATAGATAGCTATTTTGTCAATGAAAATCGGTGAGTGAAAAGGCGACACCGCTCGTCGAGCAGCTGAGATCCTTGACACATACCCCTTGCCTGATAGAGAACTGGGGTGGCAGAGGCGGGCTGGAAAATGTACGTATAGATACTCAATCGGTTGGTTGATAGTAAGTCGTTGGGTGGCCACCCCCTTGATAGGGAGCTAAAAAGCGACTACAGCAAGGCTTCGGTATACGCAGCTACCAATGGGGAGGTGTTGGTGAGTGGGACTCACCAACAGGCGGCTGAAGCGTGGAAAGCACACGCAGAAGGATAGAATATACAGAGTAACTAGTTATCTCGCTGGTAGGACCTTGAAATATATAGCACAATCTCCCGTCCAAGCTGAGCGAACGAACTTCTGCCCAACCGTTTCAAAATCCTGTTTGTCATAAGAGGCTAACTATAACGCTATACGGGGTACCGTTAACTGCCTAGGTAGTTACTTTCTGGCACTATAATTACTATCCCACTGGAATCAACCTCATCATATGAGTGAGACATGGCAACGTCAAAGCATAGCGGATACCAAGCTCGCAAGTCTCGGCAGCCTGAGCCACCAATAATCAAGTTTCGCTCGTGAGTTGCTCTCTCCGCCAGCCGCGTTGGAGAACTGACTTGGAAAACGTAGTTAACAAGTTTTTATTATTCGCATTCGCCAGGTCCTGTGATTTATGCCTCGACGCTAAGGTGCGCTGCGACAAACAGCACCCTCAATGTGGCCGGTGTGTTCGCATAAGCGGCGCCTGTCATTACAGCGTCTCGATGAGGACTGGAAAGCCAACCATGGACCTTATCAAGGCTCAAAACGCTAATATATTGATGCCGCCTCATCACCATGCCCAAACTACGGCCCGTGCCGCTGGACCATCATTGGAGTCTGATCGATTATTTCACACTATCCTCCAGCCAGGAGAACAGAGTCGATTATTGGGTAGCACAACCAAGTCTTCAACACCACCTACATCCAACTCAGAACCGCCTTCCCAAGACAGGGACTCAAGTCTGGACCTTGAACCTGGGGTTACAGTCTCATCTTCTCATCCATCTATTCCAATCACATATACAAACAAGAGGGATCTGCGGCCTGAACAGAGCAAAGCTTCCTCATGCTATGGCTCGTGGCTCGATCAATGCCATGGCCATGATAGACTACTTTTACACGAGTACAGATGACTTCGCCCTACCAGGAGCCGAGTATCAATCATCACCTGGTTTCTCCCTTTCCGTTCCACAAACAACAGATTTCGACTGCTTCCCTCAAATTCCTTCTCTCAGCAGCATTGGTGAAGACGACAATAATACCGCCCTGTCACCGGAAGATTTGGCTCTAAAACAGCCCCATGGCCTGCTAAATGGGCATAGCTGCGTACGTGCCATGAAGATGCTCCAGGCCTCTATTAGTGGCGAACCAACACACCGCGAACACAGTATACTATCAAGTACACCGCCTATAACAACCACCGACCAAGCATTGCTTGCCTGTTCGGGTGTTAGTAAACAACTAATAGAGATGTTAGAGTGTCGGTGCGAGGCAGACGCATACCTGCCGTTCCGGATCACCGTCATGATTTCTAAGGTGCTAGCAACATACAGTGCCATCGCCAAGGTTGACGACTTGACGCCCTTTAGCTTTTGCAGTATTTCAAAAATTCAACAAGAGCAGGGCCAGGGGCAAGCTGATTTCATGGCGGCCCCGCTTTGGCTTGGTGCGTATGAAGTGGATAGGGAATTAGAAGGGACGTTGAGAGCGCAACTGGTCTTCCATGAATTATCGAAGTTCGAACCCGTGGTCAAGTTGTTCGCGGACAAATATTGCCAAAATGGGGACGAGGCACCAGGTGAAGACGGGGCCATCTACTCGGCTCTTGGTCAGTTTATCAAGCATCGTTTTGATACAACAAAGACAGCATGTGAGCTCAGAAGTCCATTGCCAACACAAAGGATATAGAGGGGTAATATATTTAGGGTCAATCTAGAGTGCCTCTTTCCTATAATATTAACATGTGTGACATTTTCTAGGAATCGCTCCAGAGACCACCTTTTCGACAAATCTGGCTACCGTTGTTATCACCGTATAAACAAATTTACCAAGTGAAAAATATTGCTCGTTCTTGCTATATCGAAACATGTTACTCTGCCTACATTTAAGTTGGCATCTCTATCAGTGGAAACGTTGCTTCCTTGGGCGAAGAAAGGATAATAGTTAATTTATGTCAGGATCTGCCATTCGGCCAAAAAGGCGAGCCCGCATTAATTGGCGGCAGAGAAACTGGTTATATTTGACAATTTATTATTGTAGTTGGCGCACACATTCGGGTCGGCTCTAGTTACCATTTTCCGGCTGCGAGCATCTCACTTTCTGCCCAATGGCTTGATTGCTTGCTACCGATATGTAGGCATATCTATGATAGGTGCACCCTGTACCCCGACTATTTATTTTCTTCCTTGCCGTTGCCGTTGAGGCCCAATATTGTCGACTGCATCAGCATCGGATATATAGAGCAAAGACTTAAATGTTACTTGCACTTTATGTCGCCGATACTGTTGATTGAGCGTAGCTTTGGCCGTTACATTGATTACTATTACGTGGTATGTGACAAAAATTTGCTGTGTATTAACTATGGAACTTCTACCACCGTTTTCTTGTACTTCTGCCTTTGAATGGAAAAGATAAGTCCCAGTACGAAGATTGCAGTTCCGTTACCCACTCCAGGACCTGCTAAAAAGAGAGAGAGAGAGAGGTTAGTTGTTGATTGTATCAAGAAGTTAAACGGATTGGCGGTTTCTCACATTTGGTTCTTCCATAATACTTAGATGGTTTCCGTCAACGGTGGCGATTTTTAGCTTCGATCTATCCACCAATCTCTCCCATCCACCTCCGGTTGCTCCAAGCCCCCTGCGGTCATAAAGCAACCATGACATGAGCTTTTCGTCTCCCTTTAATAAGCTTGGTAGGTTTATTGCTGTGTGAGAATCAAGACTGCTTGGCGACATAATATGTTGTCTTGGGAATAGGATGACCTGGGTATGGCAAAAGCGGCGTAGGCCTATATTTTTCGAGGCTACCTAGCGTCGGCGTTCCACCTGTAGAGCTCATGGGCTGTACACGCGCCTTTGGTTGTGAATCTAGCTCTTGTTGATTTGCTTGTGTCGAGCCAATGAAACTCATCAGATTGTGTGGTATAGATGGAATGACCAGCGGACATGGTGAGTCGACAAGATAGATCCGTTCTACTGCCTCCTTGTCCGCAATCAACTGTCGGGCTGCTTCATATGCGATGGTGCCGCCAACAGAGTATCCCAGTAATGAGTAAGGTCCGTGTGGCTGTCGACACTTGATTTCCGCCACATACAGGCTTGCCAGTTCTGGGATGCTGGCGTTGTCGAACTGGTCTGGAATATTGGCAAAGACGCTGGTCAATCCGAAGACTGCCACGAAGTTGGGGTCGATAGACGGTATTAGTTCAAAGACCTTGGATGTGCCAAACGGCCCGGGGAAGAGAAACAAGTTGTTGACAGCAGTTTGAACATTGCCCTGTAGGAGGACTGAGCTTGCTCGATAAACCTTTTGGACGACTTGCATGTTTTTGTTCGGATTTACTTCTTCAATCGGCATGATGAAACTCTAGGCAGTTGGGTTTTTCTAAAAGAGCGCATGTCCAGAACTCTTAACGGCCGCCGGCTGTCTAGACTAGTCTGTAATAATATATATAAGTTGTGTATACAATGTTCGCTCGGCACCGGCACTCGGGCCTGTATATGATATTAACCTGGTAATTTATTTAAGGCTATTACAGGCTCGTTGTCTAACCCTAATATCTATTCTTGGCCCACGTTTGTCTTCGGTGATCGGGCCTCGGGCTCAAGCTACCCTAAGCAGATATAATCTTGGAGACTGTAGGCAGATCACATGACTAGTTAAAGCCTCAACAAGACACAATGGAGTAGCAAAATAATGTTCTAATAGACAAATAAATATAGGAAAAAAAGGTAAATAGATATAGAATTAATAAATAATAATAACTAGCGATTATATAGGAGGGGGTTCGAGTGGTGACATCTAGTTTAACACAAAAACTGTGTATTAGTTAGCAGGCTTCGGGCCTCGTGTAGTTATAGTTACGACCACCGCGTTTCCAATATTCATATAATTCCGTGGGCGCGGCGGTAAACCCTTGCCTGTGCCGTTTTATTTATTTGACTAAGCTTGACATCAACTAAGTATTAGAAGTTGAAAACATCAGGATCTTTTCGAGGTGTACATCTCTTCTCTAACCTTGAAAGAAACAAGGGAAACACAAAATTATTCGCAATATCAAAGATGGGGAGTATTAATATACTCAATATAGAGCTTGTCGACCGAATCCTGAAGGGACAGGTTGATGGCGTGAGCTCTGCGCTGCACAATGCGTGCTTCTGTGTTATTGGCAACGAGGGTATGTACAGTCGTCTGCCGAGTCAATCATATATTTGAGGGAGCACCGTCACTAATGATAGTTGATCAAGCAGGCAAGCTTCATTCTGCGGCCTATGGCTGGCGAGATCTGGCACGCTCCCTGCCCGTTACAGCGGACTCTTTGTTTTGGATTGCCTCGCTCACTAAGCTTTTGTCAAATATGAGCAAGAGCAGCGAATGATGATTGGCTGAATGAGTTTGAACGTATATATAGGTGTAAAATGTACGTATATTGGTGAGCTTGAAGAGCTTAGGTGCAGGGTGTAAGTCTCTGCCGGATATAACAGGGGCAGTGCACGTGATCTAACTACGTTGCTGACTAAGTACAACATTTGACAGCTTTCTACTGCAGTCACTGTCCTGATTGCTGTTGAGAAAGGCCTCGTCACCCTAGACCAGAACGTGAGGGACATTGTGCCGGAGCTGGCCGACCTAGATATATTGGAGGGGTTTGACGACGATGGTGCGCCGCGCTTGAGGAAGTGCACAGCCCCTATCTCCCTCCGGTAAGAAGTGACCCAGAGGAAGATTTGCTATACTCAGGACTCTATGCTAAAATTCAAGCGATAGCCAGTTGCTCTCACACAGCAGCGGCTTCTGCTACGACAAACAACACGAGGGGCTTCTGCGGTGGGCTGCTTACGTCGGAAAGGAAGAAAACACCTTCACCGGATCTTATGTGAGCATCTCCTTGGCTTTCATAACTACTGCATTGAATAGAGAGCGAGCAAACTACTGAGACGCTAGACTTGCCGCAGAAAGGATATCTTCACCCACTGATTTTCGAGCCTGGCCAGGGCTGGGCGTACGGTCCTGGGATGGATTGGGCGGGCCGAACAGTAGGCTCCCCGCACACAACCCGTTCCCCTGACAATACGAAAGTGGAAGAAGCCGAACATTATCTACAGATCGAAGTTGTTACAAAGCAAGACCTTGAGTCCTTCATGCGAACCAACATCTGGACCCCGCTCGAGATGGCGTCCACGACCTTCAGGCCTTGGATACGACCAGACCTCGAGGCAAAGCTTGTCGAAATGGCATTGCGCAGCCCAGACGGCAGTGTATCAAAGGTAAGGTCCCATTCGGCTACCCAGCAGCCGACTGCTGCGGCGGCGTGGGTCTCTACAGTACTCCCGCAGACCAGGCAAAGCTCCTATCCGCTCTATTGCGTGACGGTGGTGGCATCATCAGTGAGGGGAGTCTTAACGAGCTGCTGCGACCACAAACTGCTGACGCATCTCATTTCAACTCCATGATGTGCGGCCCGAAGCGAGCCCACCTGGGCCAAACATGGCCGGAGGGATCTAAAGGCCACTTTGGACTCAGTTCATCCATCAATGCAGAAAATTTTCCCGGTCGAAGGGCAGCGAAGAGTGCCAACTGGCAGGGTATGCCAGGTATCCATGCTGTAAGTTGTCAAGTCCCGCCCTTGCCTCTCGCGTGGTTCGCTGCTCCTTCTTTATATCTCGGTATTCTATATTCTGAAGCAAGTCTCGTTACTGACAGTGGTGCAGTGGCTTGATCGCACGGAAGGCTTAGCGGGACTTTTTATTACCCAAGTTCTTCCGCCCGGTGATGAGGTAGTCACCAACTGTTTCTGCGCACTAGAAGAGGCAGTTTATCAGTTGCATGTTCCATGCACCGAGGAAAATAAAGAATCCCCTGTATGACCCTCATTTATAGATCTAAGATTTAAGATTCTTAGTTTTACCAGTACTTCAAATTGATAGACAGGCCCTTTGCCTTATTATTGCTATTACTATATTCATTAATCCCCCTCCCTTTTGGGTTAGGGAGCATAATGCCGTAGGGTTCCCAATAGCTATTACATAGCCCCTAGATATGTAAATACACCCATGGAAATCATAACTACTAGTTATATAATAATGGACTTAATACTATATAACCGGCCAGCTCTAGTGTATTGATAAACTATCGGTAGTATTGATTTATAGAAGTAACTGATTGGGAGAATGGTTATGACTGAATAATAACATAGTATATTGCATAACGGCTAGCTATATATCGATCAACCAGTCTGACAGGTACCTATATGCAGTGCCCCTATTACATTTTGGTTGCCCTAGTGTTGAGGGCCGTTAATCATGCCTTATAGCCTTAGAAGGAGAAGGAAGCTCTCGCATCCTCCAACATCAGGCCCAAATGTTCCGGCACGGGACTCCTCACATTCTTCACCCAATCCTGCAATTCTCCTGTATAACTTGCCTCACCCTTCATATACTTGCTATCTCCATTGCCATAGGACCACGCGATATTCTTGGTCTGCTGTTTATCGTATGAGGGAGCGTCGGCGAAGAACTTGCGCAGCCTGTCATTCATTGTCTCTGGGAGTTCGCTCCCTGGTACATTCAAGGCGTAGAATGCGACACGCTTGATCTTGCCGGTCGTGTAATCGATCGTGGCAGCAAAGACGAATCGCTGGGTAGGCAGGTACTTGCGCAAGTCTGCAAACTCGTCTGGGGTTGGGGGTTTGCACCCGGACAGGTTGGTGTACGCGGCCGCTTGGGCTTCGGAGATAGGGCCCGGGACAGTGAAGTAAATGTTCAGGGTGCCGCCATGATAGTCAACAGCGGCGAAGTGCACAAGCTTCAGGCCCAGGCTATGGAAGGTGGCTCGATGTGCCCGAACGCAATCAGAGACTTCTGCTGCATCCAAGATATTGTCTATAGACCTTTGAGTCTTCATGAAGATCCAGGTTTTGGCCACGCCTTCTTCAGGGTCCAAATCACACCACTGCACCGTCTCGCCGTCGAACAGGTTGCTCCAGCAAGTTACCAGCCGCGCCATCGGGTGGCTTTCCTCAATGTAGCCGGCCTTGATCGCGAGGGCGACAGTGTCCACTCGATCACGGAGGTAAAATCGATAGTTTAACTTGTCGTTGGGCCGACTCGTGGAGCGCCAAATCACGGTCCCTTCATTGAAGCAATTGCCAAAGCTATTTAGCGTTCGAGCAACTATCGACTCGTTATATGGTGCACCAAGGGCGTCGGCTGTCTTCTTGTAATCGTCCAAGAATCGCGCCGAATCAAAAGTAGTCGAATTTTGGGGGGCCGAAGCAGGCATGGTTGATTTGAGATTTCGGGGGATAGGTATTAGTTGAAAAGTGCTAAATTCCTTAAGGGCATCTAAGGTAAAACATTAGTTGAGAGATTAAATAGGAGAACGAAAGGGACGTTTTATATTATTTTGTAAACCACACTTCGTCGACTCGCAGCGCAGTTCCACATGAGGGTGAGTTCTATTGTATGCTCAGGTACACGGCGATGTAGGGAACAAGTTGACCTGCAAGCTAGTTATCGGGTTTGAAGTCGGATATCCCAGCCGCGATGCAACTGCTACGGTCCCCGAGGCCCGGTTGGACAAGGTCTGAGGCCCGATGGTAAACCTGGTCAACTGATTATGATGACGTACTTTCTATAGGAACGGTAGTCATTTTCCTGTGGTGAATAGTGCTACTGGTTGACATCGCATGTCGGAGCTCTCAAAGGAACATTGGCTATACCGGCCAGAGCCCCGATTCTTTGCTACAGATAGGGCTTCATGTTAAGTCTGCTCAGCCGACGCAAGGGGATGGTCCCGTGGGCCCTCAGGCGCCAATTCCGGAGTTCGAGCATTGCTTCAATGGTTAAAAGGAGAGCCATGGAAAGTTGTTGATACAGGGACACAACTTCCCACATACCTATCACTAGGTCTCCCATATCGACTTACAGAATCTATCCTCCTAATATTCACGTCTCCACAAAGCCATTCTACGCCGTGCTTTCCGTTCTGAGACTTAGCATGATGCAAAAATTCATGACTGGCCTGGCTTTGGCTATAGCCATGCCCTTCTCCTTAGCCCTAGAGGCATCCCGGGGGTATCGTCTATTCAGCCTCACTGTCACCTGGGGGAAACATTCCCCAGATGGCTTCATGCGAGACATGATTCTGATCAACGGCCAGTTCCCTGGTCCAGTGCTGGAGGCCAACGAAGGCGATGAGGTGTGGGTGGAAGTTTTCAACCTCACGCCTTTCAATACAACAATGCACTATCATGGTATATACTAAGATGGATCGTTGCTAGTCGAAGTTCTTGCTAACCCGACTCTTATAGGTATCGAGATGAGCCAGACCCCTTGGTCAGATGGTGTACCCGGTGTATCACAGCGGCAGATACTTCCAGGAGGC